GGGGAAAGCTGGCCGGGGGGGCTGCTGCTCGGGGACTGGCTGGGCATCGGTCGGCGAGTGGTGAGCAGTTATACTGTGCATCACTTGCTTTGTGTATTATTATTATTATTATCATATTATTATTATTATCATTTTATTTCAATTATTAAACTGTTTTTATCTCAACCCACGACTTTTTCTCACTTGTGCTCTTCCAATTCTCTCCCCCATCCCACTGCGTGGGGAGGAGTGAGCGAGCGGCTGCGTGGTGCTTAGTTGCCGACTGAGGTTAAACCACGACAGTCACTTAGAAACAGTCTGTCAAAAGCACAGTGTGACTAAGTGATACCAAATCATAGTATGCCTATGCTTGAGACATAGAGAAACATATAGTGAAAATTGGTTGAAATTAGTAGACATACCTTACAAAATCTGCTGTATTTTTCTACCTTTTTTCTTACTGTGATTTTATGTTGTCTATTTATGAGCTACACATAGTGGTTTTCTTATAACTTCAGCAGTGTTAGTTTTCTCACTAACATTTAAAGCATTACTTTTTACATGTTATATAACAAAGGCATCTGAAGGTATTTCTTCCTTTGATGCATCTTGTTAAATTTACAGAAAACTAATACATGCTAGGCAGGTTTCTATGCTCACTTACACACCATCACTAAATTCAGTGAAGTTTCATGAATGAAAAGGGAAATTTGTCCCAGAGACTGAAAGCATATTGTTGCAGGTTAGCATATATTCAGACTTGTTCAGTCTGCTTTTTCTAAATATTTTACCTTTGTTGTACTTCTAAGACAGTTTGTAGATGGATATACTAAGGAAAGGACAACATTAACAGGAATCTTTTAAGTATATATTTTGTTGTTGGAATGCAGGAGGGAAAATGATCAGCCTCGGACTGAAGACAACCAGAAACAGTGTATTTCCTGCATCTTCATAAGTGCTTCATAAATCCCATTTACTTTGATGCTGAATCTGCACGTGTATTAGTTTTCTGCCCATTCTGAAACATAGTCTTTTTCAGCTGATTGATAAAGTATTAACTATCTGTTGCCAGTCAACTCCATTATTATGGTAGAATCAAAGACCATACGTAGAAGGAGGGGTATTTGTACACTCTTATTTTAGGCATCTAACCTAGGTTCCTGAATTAGGAGACCGAGCTCCATGGACTTCCTGTGAATGAAAGGAAGGAGAGAGCAGTTGCAGTGCAACCAAGCTAATGGTCAAACTACTGCCTGACTTAAATGACTGAATTGTTCTCTGGAAGAGCCTAAGTCCAAGCTAGGGAAGCTATTCTGCCTTAATGGCAGTCACTGGTGTAAGAAGATTGTGGAGTATGGGTTTTAGCTATGTGTAGCAAGATTTAGGGGAAAAAACTAGATCCTTACAAAAGTTTCTTTTGCAACAATTTTTAATTAAATGCTGCTTGTTTTGTAGTCTTTCTCTATTCTATGTTATGCAACACTCAAACCCATTGTTATTTTCATCCTGCTTCCTTTGAACTGTTTTAAAGAAATTTCTTTTGTGATTATATTCTTCATCCAGTTGGTGAGCACAATCTGGTCTTCATTTAAATGTTTTTCAAGTTTAACAAATTGCAACTTATTTTGACATAAAATAATAAAATTCTCTGATAGTATTTATGTTTTCTATATAGATCAGCTTGAATTTATATGCACAAATTCCTTAAAAAGCTCTTATGAAAAGACCAGACTCTATCTGGATGTGCCATGAGACTGGCACCGTAAAGAAAATGGGTGTTGTATCATCAACACTAGGTGGTGGAGTTTCAGAAGATGTAATACACACTTTATAAAGAACAATTTGTGGCAGAGGGAGAGGGGCGCTACATAAACTTTTGTTTGCACTTGACACCTGCACTTTCACCTGATCAGATCATGTGTAAATACAATGTATAAGAAAAATAAAACATCATGGCACCACTGTGGTAGAAGCTGGTAATATTTATCTCCATTT